CCCGCCGCAGCCGTGGGCCCGGCCGGGCTCGCAGCCCCGGTCAGGCCTTGAGGGCGGCACGGCGTCCCCCTGCTGCTGGCGCTCCAAATAACATCTCCCTTTCCCCCTCTCCCGTCTGCAAGGAGGTGAGGATGGCGTTGGGGACACTCTTGAGGAAGCCGCCGCTGCCGCCGGGCAGTTGTCGAGCCTTTTGGGGATGGCTGAATGCCGTGTTCAACAAGTAAGAGTGAGTCGCTGGTTAATAATTAACTTTCAGATCCCTCAAATTCTCTGCGCGGTTTGCGGAGCAGAACAACCAAATCCCTCGGCTGCAGAAAACGTTTTCTGTCATTAACGCTCTTCTTTCCCCCCTAGATTGCATGGTGATTGTTGCCAAGGGGTCGTTCCGTATCTGCTTCCCATTCCAAAGCTGTGACCTTCCAGAGGAAAGTGTGTGCTCTGCCCCTTCCCTGGAATGCACATGGATCCCATCCCGAAATCCTGGTCTTCTTTGACCCCAAATCTCACCTTAATCAGTGGCACAGTTTTCTTTCCTTACAGACATGGAAGGAAAGAGTTAAAGTTGTATTTGTATTTTTTTTTTCCCAAAAAGCATCTGCCACTTAAATAAAAAAACCTCACGCCAGACTAATCACTGCACAATCCAAAAATTACCTATGAACCATTTTCAGTAAATCACATCTTCACGTTATAAATAACTATGTAGTTGTTGGCTTTCACTGTTATATATTAACTTTTACAAATTATTTTAATATAGTACAGTTTATAATCTCTTTTTAACTGTTTCTGATATCATATAATTTGTCAGCCTTTTATAGTTAATTCCCTAATCCCTGTGTAAATTGTATATTTTAGTGTAATAAATATATATTACAGTTTAGGCTTTCACAGAATATTAAAATAAATGCTGTGTGCTGTGTATTATAACGTTCACTTTTACAGAAGTAGTTGTTTTTCTGAAATAATAACGAATTACTTTATTTTTGTAGCTAACTAGCAATAGTGAATTAACTAATATTGATTAAAAGAACTTGTAAAAACAGCTAAAACATCTGTATAAGATAACATTAAAAAGAACCAGGCAAGTAACACTGAAAGAGCAAAGAAGAATCTACCGCCGACCCTTTGGCTATCAATATCAAATCACGGGCCAGGGGGCCTTGTGAAGAAATAAAATATAAGCCTCTCAAAATCACATCTGCATCATGGCATGAAATGTCTAAGAAAACAAAGTCAAGAGTTGAACTCAGCTAAAAAATTCCCAAAACATGTAAATGCGAAAGAATGTTTGAATATGTATAAGCTTCATGAATATGCAATTGACCAATGCAATATAAAAACAGAGTTGTTCTAGTTAACCGTGTGCATCTAACTATTACTAGATGTAACAGTTAATTAATGTATTAATACATTATATTATTATACAATATTAGCATATTATTAATGTAATAATTATATTACATTACTAGTTACTGTTACTTTTACTTCATCCCTTATTATCCCTTACTAAACTTCTAAAAATTTGAAAGAGTGAACCTCATTTACTCACACTTACTTCTCTGACCCTGCACATGATGCCTTAAGTTTTAGCAAAGCAGAAACAACAGTGGACTGAAGACAAAGAACAAGAGGGATGGGACTTCATAACCTGAAGCTGTAATTGGACAATTAACACAGACATGCAGATGGACCAAAACTTATAAAAATGTCAGCCCTCATGACCAGTCATCCATTTCGTGACTGTTTTTGGGTCCATCTTGGGTGTGGCCCTGGCCAGGCTCCTGTACTGCCCAAGGTGTGTCCTTTAGGGCCTTTCAGTAAATCCCTTCTTTATTCTGCACTCTGTCCAGCTTCTGTTGTAGCTCAGCCCTCTCCAGGCAGGTGTTTGCTGAGGAGCATTATTGTTGATAATATTGATGATTCCAGGCTCTCTGTGTCTGCAGGGTGGACCACGAGCGCATCCGAGCCGTGGGTCCTGACCGCGCGGCCTCGGAGTGGCTGCTGCGCTGCGGGGCCCTGGTGAGGTACCAGGGCTCGCCCAAGTGGCAGCAGGACTACAATGGGCTACCCACAGGGCCCCTGGGCAAGTACAAGATCGAAGCCATCAATGCCACCGACTCCTGCATCATGTACAGAGGATTTGACTACCTGGGTAATGTACAAACGGGGCTTCTTCTTAATGGCTTTCATTTTCCTTGCCTTGAAATCTTATATCTACTCGTTAGCTTTCATTATTACTAACTTTTTAATTATTTTGTTGACTTCTGCGAATTATTATTATTATGAATCACAATGATTTTGATATAATTTGTAATATATAGATTTATAATATCTGTATTGTAATAGCTGTAATCACTTTTAACTGTTTTTGATGCAGTATAATTTGTCAGCTTTTGTAGCCAATGCCCTAGCCATGTGTAACATATATATATATATAAATAACTTACATAACTCATATATATATCTTATATATTAATATATATGTTTTATATATATGTTATATATTTTTATATATATACATTACATATATAATAAACATATAGTTTAAGCTTCTGTATAGTTTAAGCTTCTGCAAAATATTAAAATAGAAACTATGTGTTGTGCATTTTAACATTCATTTTTGCAGAAATAGATAATGGTTTTATTTTTATAACTAACAATGGTAAGAATAACTCAAGTTTGTGAAAATAGCTAACTATATAACTATATATGTATATTATATAACTACCTATGTAATTAAATAACATTAAAGAAAACAAATAACGGAGAAAAAAGATATGAAGAGGACTTCTGCCACTGACCTTTCAACTATCAATAACTCCCCATTTGTCATAAAATAATAGTATACACATTATAAAGAAATAGCATATATGTTATAAGAAAATAACCCACAAAACTTCCAAAAATCAAATCTACACCATTACACAAGTCAAGAGTCAAACCAAGCTAAAGAATTCCCAGAACATGTAAAAGAACTCAAAGGAATATTTAAGTGTATATAATCTTCATAAATATGTATTTGATCAATGCAATAAAAATATATATTAAAAGAGTTATAATAAACCAGTGTACAGCTAGCTAGGGCTGTGCACCCAGTGCTGTGGGGTCCCTTTTTATCCCTAATTAAACTTCTGAAATTGTAGAAAGTAAAGCTCATTTCTCACAAAAATTTGAATAATGGTGCCATTTGTTCCTTCCTTAGCAAGATACTGGTAAGTCATTTGTGGTTTTTCTGCCCCTTTATAAATATTTTTCAGTCCCTAAGGTTATGCTGGAGGTGTGATTAAAGTGGAAAGACATTGGGAACTTCTGCTTTATCTGAAGTGGCCATAGCACTAAGGAAGTGCACAAATTTCAATAAATTCATAGCAAAAAGCACTAGAAATATTATTTTTCTTCTGCACAAGGGATGATTTTGGTGTCTCTGAAGTCACAATTCTGCTCATTCTCCAGGCATTTACGGTGTCTTCAAAGACAAGAAGCAGGCTCTCTTCAAAATAAGAGATTAAACAAGTGTTTCAGGTGGTCTTAAATGACAGAAAGCAAAATGGAAACAGGCTGTTTCATTTTTTTCATAGCAAGGGACCCTGAATTTCTGGCATTAGCACGTTCTTAGTCAGAGTTATTGTTTTATTACCCAAAATTGTGTGAGTTTTTTGTTACTTGCCCATTTCAAAGCTCTTGAAATCTTACTGAAACGATTCAAACCCCAAGGTTTTCCTAAATCTGAAGTACCACAAAGGGACTTTGGAGATTGATTGTGTTATGGCCCCACTGTATAAAGGAATGTGTTGCTGGGTGGCTTTAGGGGCAGTTATTGAACTGAGAACTTTCCAACCAGCACAGGCTGGTCCTGGAATTCTGGAGCAAATCCTCACTTTTGCCTTTGCAGATGGCCTGGAGCACGTTACAGATATCAAACTGGAGAAATGCATGTACATCCAGGACGAGTGTCTGCAGAGGCTCAGCGAGACCAGCAACCTCCAGAAGAGTCTGCAGCAGCTGAAGATCATTTCCTGTGGGAATGTCACAGACAAAGGCATCATTGCACTCCACAAGCTGACGTACGTGAGCCACTGAGTGCTTCCACAGCCCCCTGCTCCGGGCTCCTGGGGATTGTGCTGGGTGCAAGGGCTGGGGTTGCTGTTTGGAGCCTGTAGGGCTGGGTTGGGCTCAGGGATCAATAATTAATGATCAGCTTGGCTTCTGTTCCTGAGCCCTCTCCTGCAGCAGCTCTGCAGGGCAAGGTTTGACTGTGCCCTGTAGCTTTTAGTGCTTCCTCCACCTCACAGCTTCCTGCCACACCACCCTCTCTGCCTCAGGGTCTGGGACAGACCTGGCTGCTTGGGAATGGGATGCAGCTGGATACTGCAGCTAAAAACTCCAAGCACCCACTTCAGCAAGAAACTTCCAGTAGAACCAGTCACCATTCAAAATACTCAAAGCAACTGCAGTGGGATAATTTCTCCAACTTCTCTGTCAGCAATTCAATAGTAGTTGCCCATTTTCTTTTTAAATATTTACAGGAACCTGGAATATTTGTATCTGAGTGACCTTCCTGGGATCAGAGAGAAAGAAGTGACCTTCCGTGTCCTTCAGCAGGCACTGCCCAAACTGGAGCTGGAGCTGGATTTGGAATAAACACAGCAGCATGTAACTGAGATGTATGTGATTTCCTAGGATTTATCTTATGTTGCATAAATGAAGTTGTAGACACCGCTGTATTTCCAGTAAGCCCAGCTCTCCCACTACACTCAAAGGTGTATGTGACCTGTTAAGAAATCATGCAATTAAGTTTTATTAAGCTTAAACTCAGTGGTGGGTCAATAACAGACAAAGCAGCCTCCGCACGTGGCTGTTTCCTGTTTCTCTAGGAAGCTCTGAATACCTCAGTCAGAAGTTTTCAGTATTTTATTGCACAGAAGCCAAGTGGCAGTGGAGGGAATGTCGGGGTGTGTGTGGTCTCTGTGTGGTGTTGGTGCTGTTCCCCCTGGAAGAATCTCACCCAGTTGGTGGGTGCTGATTTAATAAAAGATGTTCTGGGTCTTCTTTGGGTTCTTCACACTTTGAGTTTTGTCTGGTTTAACGATCACCCCTCAGGAGCACTGAACTGCTAAAGGGACTGTGGCTGTTTGTGGAGGAGCAGCAGTTCATGGACAAAGCCTCGAGCGTGTTTTTGCTGTGTGCTGCCATGGACTGCAGCAGTTCTGTGCAGCTCTGGAGTTGCATCCTCATCCCTCCTGATAAATAAAAGTCATTGCGAATTGGTGAGGTTGGAAAAGTCCTCTGAGATCGTGGGAGTCCCCAGCACTGCCAAGGCCACCTCTGAGCTGTGTCCCCCAGTGCCACATCCACACGGCTTTTAAATCCCTCCTGGAACGGTGAGTCCAGCCCTGTCCTGGCCAGCTGTGCCAGGGCTGGACAAACCTTTCAGGAAGGAATTTTCCCCAATATCCAATCTAAACCTCCCCTGGCCCAGCCTGAGGCCGTTCCCTCTCCTCCTGTCCCTGTTCCCTGGCAGCAGAGCCCGACCCCCCCGGCTGTCCCCTCCTGCCAGGGACTTGTGCAGAGCCACAAGGGCCCCCTGAGCCTCCTTTGCTCCAGGCTCAGCCCCTTCCCAGCTCCCTCAGCAATTCTCCAGCCCCTTCCCAGCTCCCTCAGCAATTCTCCAGCCCCTTCCCAGCTCCCTCAGCAATTCTTCAGCCTCTTCCCAGCTCCCTCAATCCCTCCTGGGGCTCCAGACCCTTCCCAGCTCCGTCCCCTTCTCTGGACACGCTCCAGTCCCTCAATGCCTTTCTTGTGAGTCAAAACTGCCCCCAGGATTGGAGGTGGGGCCTCAGCAGTGCCAGCACAGTGGGAAAGGCTCATCCTGGGGGAGAACACGGCATTTTCAGTCAAATCCCTGGTTTTGGGGGTGGGGGCGGGCAGAAGGCAGCGACTCCAAGCAGTCAGATGTGCAGTGCTGTCTCAGAGATAGTTTTCCATGTGTAAGGAAACATAAGGCCAACAGGCACACACAGGGCATGGCATCTGTCTCACTTAAAGGGCTTTTACTGTTGTGGAACACAAAATGTACTGGCAAAACATTTCTGCTGTAAGTGTCAGTAAAAATAGGATGTTCTTGCCCAGTAGTAAAGCTTTATATAGTAAAATACTTCCAGTACATTGGAAAAAGAAGCTACATTTCTTTTATTCAAAATCAACACAATATTACATTCTGAGATTCCACAAACCCCAGTCATTCTAATACAAACACTTGGGCAGAATTCCTGCCTGTGTCTGGCCAATGTTATAAATTACATTCATGATTAGTTTTGATAAAATCATTTTTGCAACTACAAGCAAGTGCCCTCACTCTTGTCAGAAGCAGAATTCAAGGACTAAACTTGCAGGAGCAGCTCTGGAAAGACTAAAGGAACAACAGGGACGTTGTTGCTCTGTTCTCCTGGGCGTGGTGCCTGCGGAGCCTGAGCAGTCACCAGCTCTGAGCTCCCCAGCACATCTTCACCCCTTGTGCAGCACAGCAGGGACTTGGCCACACAGCTCCTCCCAGCAGGGACGTGGGGCCAAGCTAAAGCAGGAGGGACTCGTGTATTTGGCAAGGTGGAGTTCTCCTGCCCAGTCTGAAATGCAGGGGACAGATAGGCCAGAGTTTGAAATTTCATACTGTAAGCACTGGGCTGGGGTAATCCTGAACCAGGAAGCAATCAGGAATTAAAAATGTACACAGAACACTGAGATGAGATTTGAGTTCTTTCTGCATTCCTTCCTCTCCATCAGTAACCCAGAGTAGAGACCACTCTGTACATGCCATAACTTTTAGTAATTTAGTTTTCCACTGCTTACCCTCCATCTATAAATCCTGGATGATTTTGAACAACCTGAGTTTTGATCTGCCCCCTGGTCAGATGTTTGGGAAGTGGTACTTTGATTTCCTTGTCTTGCAGCAGTTCTTCTTGCTGTCCAAAGCTGGGAGAACATTGCTGCAGGTCAGCTGAGGCAGGTGCTGTACCTGAAGGAAAGGTTACACCATGTCTGTTTGTTTGGAAAGGGAATAAAACACACGTGGAATCAAATTTTCACATGGAATATGAGCTATAAAACTATTCCTACTGTAATTCTCCACTTTCCAAGCTAAGAGTCTAAGGTTTTACAACTGGACTGCAACTAGAACAACTCATTAAAGAACTCCATTAGGAAAGAAAAATATCCCAGGTCATAGAAATGGTAAATAAATCATAAATCATCCTACTTCCATAGAAATGGAAGAGGCCAATCAGTCTGATGCAGGAATTGACACTGTAGCAGTTCTCCATCCCTCACCTCCAACTTCCCTGCCTGGTCCCAGCTCAGCATTAGAGCTGCCATGGGGAATTGGCTCACAGGAATAAAAAACTGTGCAATGAGTTGCATTGTGAGGCTGGATTTGGGGACTTGGGGTGGAACCTGGAAAAGCCAGAGCAGCAGGGAGAGGTTGGCCTGGCAGCTCCAGCTGCAGAAACACCCAGTGTGTGGAGTAACGTGTGGAACTGAGCATGGGATCATCATGTCCCCACAGCACTTAGAACAGAAGTGGTGTTTATTCCATCTCCTAATTCAGGATTAAAAAGCACCAGAGTATTCAAACTTAAACCAGCCACGTGAGTGTGTCCAGCTTGTTCAGCCTCCCGCTGCTCTTTGTCAGGAATGCACATTCCTGGATGAACCTTATCGTGCGCAGGGCTGTGCTGTTTATCCCCAGTGCCCCATGGAGCCGCAGTGCAAAATCCAGTTTGTACGGAGTTACTCTTTAGCCAGGGGGTTTGTTTTCTCCTCAGGATAAAACCAACACCTGCCAGCACAGCCCACCCTGGGAGCCAACAAAAGAACAGCCCCCCTTAGGCACGGAATATTAAACGCTATGGAAAGCTTACCCCTGGCACGTGCTTCCGAGTCAGCCTGGCTGGCTTCCGAGGGCTCTTTTCATGTTCTTTGCCCAGCTCTGCTGCCTCCCTAAAGCTCTCAAAGTAGGGGTGCTGCAGCAGCTGCTCACAGCTCTGCCTCTCCGCAGGGTCCATCCGAAGGCAGCCCTTAGAAAAGGTGGAGAATGACACCGAGCACTCCTTACACAGCTCTGCACAATTCCTGCTGCTCCCCACGGCCAGCGAGTGTTCCCACAGGTATGTGTGTTAGTAAGTTTTTAAATGGATTCTAAGAGCAGCTTTTCACAGTCAGCACAAAGCTGGAGGAGCAGCTAATTATACAATAATTACAAAAATTAATTATGGAACTGTTTGGGTTGGAAGGGACCTTAAAGACCATCTTGTTCCAACCCCCTGCCATGGCAGGGACCATTCCACTACCCCAGGTTGCTCTGAGTTCCATCCAACCTGGCCTTGGACACTTCCAGGGATGGGGAGTCCACAATTGTAGTAGGAATTATGGCTCAAGGAACAGGCGCAATCACAAGGAGCAGCAAACCAGGTCTGTTTTTCAATGAATCTCTGATAACTCAGTCCCAGACTCTCACACCAGATGATTTGTTTATCCCACTGCAGGGCTCTTCCACAAGCTGGAGTTTCCTTACCTTCATGAGAGCCAGTGCAGAGTATGAAATATTGGGGAATTTCATTTCCAGTGGTTCCTGCAGGGAAAAAAAACCAAGTGAATGGACTCATATTAGCAAACTTTTCATTCATCACGGTACCAAGACTCAGCTTTCCACAGGAACACGACCTGTTCCTCACAAAATGCCTCCATCACTCCGTGTGTTCAGAGGCCTGGCAGCACTGAGAATGTGCCACCAGAAATGGGGGAAAGCAGCAGAGATTAATCCTTTTTTGACTGCTTTTACACAAGCTGTAAGTTAAATGTCATGAGAGGTTCAGCCACCTCCAAATAATATTCTGGTGTACACTGGCAAAGTAGAGGGCAAAGTTTTTGGATAGGGAAAAAACGCTGCACAGCAAAGGACTGGGCAGAGTGGAGAAGGGAGGGAAGTGCAGCTGGAGGCAGCTCTTACCATGCTCTCTGGGTCTGGAATTCTTACCCCACTGAAGAATTGGTTGGTGCTGAAGACTTGCTGGTGCCTGGGAATGAGATCCCCTTTGACCAAAAATTAAAAAGAAAAAAAAAAAATTGGAGTAATTGACTTAATTTTATAGTGCCTGCATTGAACATGGCTGTAACCTCTAAGAAGGCTGATGCCATCCAAGACAACACCTGAAGAGGTGGAATATCACCAAGTGAGCTCAGGCAATGTTCTTTGTGACAATTAATGTCCATTTTGGCCACCAGTGATCCCACACCTGTGTGACCGTGCTGAAGGAAAGGCAGGGCCACAGGTGTTCCAGCTTCAGGAAACTTTAACTTCTTTTGGGTGAAATTCTCTTTGGATGCTCCTGAGGGTGCAGTACAGGAAAGAGCTGGAACACAGCCCCCCCTGAATTTGCTGTAGCTGCTCCCCATGGCAGTGTTTTTGAAGCTTGGAGCACCCCAGAGCGAGGAAAATGTTAAAATCAAATCCATAGCAAAGGAGGCAATACAATGCCAACCCACAATGACACAGCTTCACTCAAGGAGCTTTGCTCTGTGAACACTGCCTCACTCCAGCACCTGGATCCAACAATCAATGGGAATCTCCTCTGGCTGAAACTCTATTATTAAAAATAAATTATAACTGCCTAACATTGGCATTAATGAATTCTGGAGGATAAAGCAATCGGTGATGAACTATTTTTCTAGGTAAGGAGTTTATCTGTTTAAAGCCATTAGTCACCTTTGTAGTTTTAGAAACTGCTCAGTTAAAATTACAACTCTCTGTTCATTCCAACAAATTTCAATTAGAAATGGGGAGTTGTTTGTTGCCACCCAAGAAATCAGAAGTTACACACCAAAATTGAAAAGATCAGTGGGACTGGATTAGTTTAAGCGTTATGGGGGATAATGTCTCTTTTATTTAACAAATTAATATGGAGTGGCTCCTAAATTCATTGATGAACAAGAAAGATGTGGAACAGACAAGCTGTGATGTTCACACTCCCCAGGATCACAGCCATCAACAGGCACTGACAACACTTTTGAGACCTCCAAGGCTGGGATGAATCAAATCCAACTGTTCATGGACCACTTTCCTTGCTACAAACCCTGAAAAACACTTGGATCTTCTAAACCTTTATGTAAAACACTCCTGGTCCTTTCTGATACAGGCACCTCATGTTTTTGTCTATGTGGAGACAGCTGAAGTTTCTGTGCTCCCCTAGCCCAGCAATCACCCCAAGGGAGCAGGAGGGGTGTCCAGTGGTCACCAAACACATCCCACATCTCTAATCTGCCCTGCACCAGACCCAGCTTCCCCGAGGCCAGCACTGCCGAGGAGAGCGGAGGGATGGTTCCAGGCAGTCTGCAGGCAACGATCCCGATTCCCAGCCTGCTCCCCTGGGAGCACATGGACATCAAGCCAGGAAAACCCAGCTCCTTCTTAAGGACAGGAGCCCCTCAAATAAACCAGCACCTTCTAAAGGGAGAGATCTGCTGGGTAAATGTCCCCTGGCTGCTCCCCACTCCCTCCTGGGCAGGCTCCGGTGCTGCAGGGGACGCTCACCCAGGGTTCTGCGGATCAGGTACAGCTGGTCCACGTCCGACTTGCCGGGCCACAGGGGCACCCCCGAGAGCAGCTCGGCGAACACGCAGCCGATGGCCCACACGTCCACGGGCGGGCCGTACTGGGTGTCCCCCACCAGCAGCTCCGGGGAGCGGTACCACCTGGTGGCCACGTAGTCGGTGTAGTAGTCACTGGGACCGGCTGGGGCGGGGTCAGGGGAGAGACACAAGAAAAGGAACGTGGGATTAGAGCGATGCTCAGGAGCCAGCAGCACTTGGTACATTTTAGGGCATCTCCTGGGCAGGCCAGAGCTGCAGCAGCAGGGTGAGTCGCTGGCCACCAGCAGAACCCAACTTTGGAAATACTCAGGATCTGGTAAAAATCAAGACCGTGTTTTCCTCCAAATGAAAATGTGCAGAGCTCTACAGCAGGGCCCAGCAGCAGCTAGTGGCCAGTTCTCAGAGCCCATGTGATTTGTCTGAAGAGGAGCTAAAAAAAAACAGATTAGGGGGTTTATTTACAACGGAAAATGTGAAGCCATTGTTTGCAGAGGCAGGCAGAGGGGCTCTTCCTGCCAGGGAGCTCCAGCTGTGTCTCCAGCACTGCATAAACAAGGGCAGGGCAGCTCCGAGACGCCCAAGGCCGACTTGATCTGCCCGTGCCAGCACCCCCAGCGGCTCAGCCAGCCCAGAAGGGAGCTCGGCGTGTTCACAGATGTCACCGCGGCGTTTGGCATCCCTCCCTGCAAGGTTTAGGAATCCCTGCCCAGCCTTCAGCAGAGCTTCCCTGGGAAGACACACAGCCATCATACAGGCTGTATGATGATTTGCAGTGCGTCAGAGACAGGCAAGTGAGGGCTGGAATGGCTCATCCTACACCTGGAGTACATAAAGAGTCAGCACTCACTCAGGATTCGAGCAAATCCAAAGTCACAGAGTTTGATGACCGAGTGCTTTGTTATCAGGATGTTCTCTGGCTTTACATCCCGGTGGATGCACTGGAAGAAGAAGAAAAAAGCAAGGTTAGAAGTATTTAACCTGTCCCTCAGATAAATTCAGCCACATCCCCTCATGTGCTGTGGCAGGCAGTTGTTCCTGCTGAAAGGGAAGATGGAAGGATTTCTGAGTGACCTGTCCATAGCCCACCTTAGGGGAGAGTCACTGTGCAGCTCCCAGCTTCAGCTCTGGATCCCCTGCACAACACAGAGTCAGCTCCCTGAGCCCCCTGGGAAGTTCCTGCCCAATGATTTTGCTGACAAAGCTCAGCAAGGGCTCTGCTCAGCACAGGCGAGACACATCCAGAGCTGTGTCCAGCTTTGGGACCCTCCGCAGAGGGAAAATGTGAATCCAGTGAAGGGACACTGAAATTTAAGGGACTGGGGTGTCTGACACCCAAGGAGAGGATGAGGGAGCTGGGACCATCAAGACTCCAGGTGAAATTCCTTAATGTGTATTAAATACCTGATGGGAAGGGAGACTGAGCTAGGCTGGTCTCGGTGGTGCAGTGAAAGGACAGACCATGGGCACAAACTGAACACTCAAGAAATTCCAAATTCCATCTAAACCTAACCAATTTAGTTTATATTTTATTTTTTATTTTTATTTTATTTTATTTTTTTTTAGATACTGAAATCCTGCCTGGAAAAGTTTCTGAACAGCCTGTTCTAGCTGATCCATCTTGACTGGAGGGGCTGGATAAGATCTCCAGAGGCCCCTTCCAACATCAGCAATTCTGTGATTCTTTGGAGGTGAGCTTGTCCTTCACAACAACTGAATTTGGGCTTGGCAAAGAATTTCTGCTGATCAAACTAACAAAGACCTTTATTTCTTTTGCTCTGCTCAACTCACTGGGATCTCACTCATGTTGTCCCTCTCCCATCATCACTTCAGAGCAAACACCTTGGACTTGCCAAGCTGCTGGTAAATTATTGTGTCTCCTCTGGAGGACTGAAATGCTGCTTATTAAACCACTGTCACGGAGTTCCAAAAAGGGCAGCTGCATAAAACTGTGATCACATTACCTGTGATCTACAGCAGGTCAGGCTGCAGCATCTCATTGTTCCCTCTGCTCTCAAACTCCATTAAATCTTCCAGACTGAGCAAGGAAACAGAAAAAAGGCACAAACCAACAAATCTTGGAAGCAGGAGAGACCTGTGGCCAAGTTCCTGTGGCTCAACTGGACATAATTCTCTCAGCAAAGACAAAACACCCATTCCAGGGCCATCTCCTGCCCCACTCTTAAATCTCAAATGTTGGCAGATGAACAAAACCAAAGACAATTAGAGCTAAGTTTGCCTAAAGACCTTCTCCAAAAGGCTCCTTCTCCTTCCCTGCTTCTTAAAATGTTCCCACTGAAGTATCTGTCAAGCGCACAATTCATGTCTCCAGAGAGCAGAGGAGGGAGTAAAGTGGGTTTACTGTCTCTAAGTTTTGAAATCTTTTCACTGGTGCCATGATTCAACCCCATGGCAGTGAACTGAAGGAGTTTCTGTGAAATCAGCAGCAGTTTGCCAGCTGATGAGCTGGTGAGGCAGGTTCCTGAAGGTCAGCAGTAGTGCAGGGTACACGGAATCACACAAGGATCTTTCCCATTCTCCTGGGAGCTTCTCTAAGGTCATTAGAGCAAATCATTACCTGACAGCCAAGCCCAGGGGCCTGTGTGACAGTGAAGGCAGCTGGTGTGGGTGTACACCAATATTTCAGATGAGTTTCCTGTTGAAAACAGGAGATTCCATCTGACCCCATTCCATGAAATCATGGGAAAGCATGCATCCATTTTCCTGGAATCAGGAAAATGCCAACAGAGCCCCTCTCTCCTCCAAGGCCATGTTCCAGCAATCATTAGTGCAGGCCAGGGGACTCACATTGTGTTTGTGGCAGAAGTTCACAGCCTGCAGGGTCTGCCAGGTTATGCTCTTCACCAGGTACTCTGGCACCCTGTTGGAAAAAACACCCCAGAGTTTTATTTTGGCCATTAATAATAAATTTACTGTTTTGTGGAAAATGAGTGCTGACATTGTACAGGGATCTCTGAGCAAAACCATCAGGGATGTCAGGAAGCACTTCCAAAGCCAGTCAGTGCAACAAGACACGAGGATTTATGTCCGGTACCAGTCACAGCCAGCATGGGCTGCCACTGTGATCACACAGCCAAGTGTGTGAGTCCGTATCAGATCCCATCCTACAATTCCTGGCAATGCTGAAATGCCAGCAGCAATTTCTGCCTCAGCAGCTCTCAGGGCTGGAACTGCTGGAGTATCCATGGTATAGCTACATGGAATGCTGCTGATTGTCCAGAGAGGAGAGGTGAAAAATGGGCCAGGGAAGGGTGCTCAGACAAAAGTAATAAAGTTCTGCTTTGGTTTGGATTCCCCTCCTTCCCTCCCACAGCTGGCAAACACTCCCCAGCCTCCTCTCCTTTCTTTCAGTTACTGGGCAACAGTTCTTGAAGTTCCTTTGCTGTCTGTTGAAGGCTCTTCAACAACCCCAGGAAAGGCAGAAGTGACAGTCTTGGCATTTTCCAACTCAAACACAATTTTATTTCACATGTTTAATGCTGAAAAGCTTCTGATTCATAATAAAGAAAAAACCTACCCAAAAATAAACCAAAACAACGCAAGCCTGAGTTTTTCTTTCAAGTTTGGCTTTCAGTTTCAGTGGGTCAGTGATACTCTGCTGACGCAGTGAGATTCCTTCCAGAAACATCCCAGAATGATGGGAGTGCTGTTCTGACAGCTTGAAAAGGGGATAGAGTTGGTCAAATGAGCTGGAATCAACAGGTGCCCACCCATCTTAACCTGACCACAAAAGACTTGACCATCTGCCCTAGCAGAGCTGAAAAGCAAAGCATGCAGCTAGCTGATCCATTTTCCTTCACACTGGGGTTGTTCTGATGAACAATCAGCAAATGGGAAGCATTTCCTTCAAACAGAGTTATCCATCCCCTCTTCAGATTCCAGGTGAGCAGGTTCCCAGTGGGGTGGCAGCTGCTGGCAGCTCACAAAGCCACCAGTGATCAGCCTGCTCCGTTCTCCTGGTGCTCCTCACCAGGGAGGGAGGGAGTAAATAACAAGCTCTTGTTTGCTCAACCCCCCCATCAGTCTCCTGCAGGCAATTCACAGCCCCAGGCCTGTGCAATGATTTATGGAGTGTTGCTTAGCATTTCCACAGCACCAAGGCACCGTGGATAATTGGGGACAGCGGGAGTGGCGTTTACAAGGTGTGGACAGAACAAACCCTGTGTGGAGCTCACACTTGGTGCGAGCACCTGTTGGAAGAGAAGTTTTGCAGAAGAGGGGCAGGCACAGCTCTTAGGAATTACTCCTCACTCTGGAGGGCTGAAAGTGCTCAAAAGTGTACATGTGGCACTTGGGACACGGTTTAGTGGTGAACACAGCAGGGCTGCATTAACAGTTGGACTTGATGCTCTCAGAAGGCTTTTCCAACCTAAATGATCCTACAAGTCCCTGGTTCTGTATTTGGGTGCCCCTGCCCCAGTGCTCACAGTGATGGGAGCAAAGGAAGCAGCAGGACACAAGCTGCTCCCAAGCCCTGGATTCGCTGCTCCCCCTCCAGCCAGAGCTCTCCCAAATTCTCGGTTCGGCGCTCCCGTCTCCGTGGTGAGCGGGGCCGTGCGGGAGGGAACACGGCTCCTGCACCGCTCTTGTGCCACACCACAGCAACAGAGACAGTCCTGGGCACTGCGCTCAGAAACCTCTCCTGGAATTAATGGAATTCCTCTGAAAAGCCACAGGGCAGCAACGCTGTGCTGGGAGCTGCCAGGGCACAGGGCTCACTCACCCGCGGGGGTGCTTGTCCAGCTCGTGCAGCACCGTGTGCTCGCAGTATTCCAGCACCAGGTGCAGCCGCCGCTTCCTCCTGAACACCTCCAGCAGGTTCACCAGGTTGGGGTGCTTGAGTTGCTGCAACACACAGGGGATGGGGTGGTCAGCAGCTGCACAGGGTAAAGCTGTGGGGGACAGACTTTTCCTTAAGCTCAACCCTTTCTACAAGCACAGCTCAGCTACAGCTCAGCCTCTGGGTACTTATTTTGGGAGCTGACCTAAAAGGGTGGGCAACAAACTCATCCCAGTGCTCCATCTAACCCTGCCCTCTGGCAGTGGGAAGCCATTCCCCCTTATCCTTGGATATTGGGAATGGGGAATTCCTGGCTGGGAGGGTGGGCAGGCCCTGGCACAGGCTGCCCAGAGAAACTGTGGCTGCCCCTGGATCCCTGGAAGTGTCTGAGGCCAGGCTGGATGGGGCTTGGAGCAGCCTGGGACAGTGGAAAGTGTCCCTGCCCATGGCAGGGGGTGGAATGGGATGCTCTTTGGAATCCCAAACCATTCTGGGATTCTGTGGTTTCACGACTCTTCCCACTCCATGTTGCTTGGCTCCTGGCCACAAAAATCCCTTTGTCTGCAAGGTGTTTACTGGGCAGAAAAATGATTTATCAGACCCATCATTTTCTAATGATGAAACACAATCTCACTCCATCTCTGACAAACAGGAGTTACCTAAGCCAGGAATTGCCTCAACAAACAAACAAACAAACAAACAAATAAATAAACAAACAGTTACTACTTGCAGAGAAAAAGCTGAGAATAGTCAAGCAGGTCTGCACTTGTTAAAGTCAACAGTAACTCCAGCACAGATCCTGCTGTGCCTGGCTGCTGTGGCTTTGGATCCTTAAGGATGATGCAGTTCCCAGCTGCATTACAAAGGACTTCTGCCATGATTATTTTCCTTTTCACATGTTTAATATCACTTAAATCTTAATGTAAATCTAGCATTGTTTACTGAAATAATATAGCTACATGTCCTGTGTTTACTTTGTATAGGAGAAAAACCTAGGCTGCTTCTCCCCAAAATCTAACTGAAAAATATTTACTCTTTTTCCTAGATAATTGTTTTCCTAGGAAAGCAGGTGTAGAAATCATGAGCACCCCGGGAAAAGTGCAAAGAGGACACTTCCCATTCCTTGGAACACCAAGCTGAGGGTACTGTGTGCCATCACCCAGCAGCAAGTTTGTAACAAAGAAAAGGAAATTTTTTTTCCACACAACACATTCCTAAAGCCTCAGGAAACTATGGAGACCAGACGAACACACAAGTTCCTAAGACATGGGACAGAGTCTGCAGATGCATGAAGCAACAGGCACAGCCTTTGGCTGCAGAATCCTTGCCCAGAAACTGGGAGTGTGAAAGGAAACCTTACCCGATACTCTGTCCCTTTCTCCCGGGTCTCTCCTCATTTCTGCATGCTGGATAGACCTGCAGATGCTCCCCTGCTTTTATTTCTTCAGGAAAATAAAGCCAGAGGCTGAAGGAGTAACCCATTTCTGTGTGAGGATGAGCTCTCACAAAGAGGTCAGGAAAGGATCAGCAAAGACAAGGCTCACTCTGGTGCTGGTTCTGCTAATACTTCCATGTGGAATTCCTGACCCTGCACAGCCCCTGGCATTCAATCCTCAGCTGGATCCTGCACAACCAGGGGCTCAGAAAGGGCGTTTTAAGGAGAAGCTGGGGCAGATTTATCAATTGTGGAGCAGGGAGAGCTGTGTCCCCTGGCTGTCCCCCTCCTCATGCTGTCTAGCCTCACTCTTTGCCCATGTGTTTCACTCTGGCTCCAGCTGTTCTGGGCAATCTCCTGGACGCATAGGGGTGTGTGACACGCACCAGGGGCAGAGCTGTGCCCACACTAGCCAGGACATTGCTGACTCCATGGGGAACAGAGCCTGGGTCAATCCCTCTGTTCAGGGCACACCGTGACTGCGCTGATGCTGCTCCTGCAGAAGTCGCAGGTACCTGGCTCATGGCTGTGTCTCAGCTCCCACCTGCTCCTGCCGGGGCTGGGCAGGATCACCCGGCACCGCCATCCCTGGACAAGCGGCTCGGACATTCCCTGGCACCGGCTTTCTCCAGAGGAACTGACTGACCTGGGCACTTCATGGTGCTCCTTCACACCCGTCTCTTTGCTTCCCTCACGACACCCCCATCACCTCACAGATGCCCTCATGCCCTGTCGCTTCATGGCCGCCCTCACACCCCGGCCCCTCACCACACCCCGGCCCCTC